GACGAAACTCCTGGCTAAAGAATCTACGGGAATGGTATAGTTGTAGCAACAACGAATTGTTTCGGTCAGCAGTTTCGAAAATACGTATAGCCCTGATGATCGCCACCTTCGGAACGAAGATGGCACTTGAAGAAGATATAAAGTGTCGTCTTATTCGAGTAACTTTTTCCTGTCTTCGTCAATTTTTTGTCTACCCCCCCCCAGAATCTATAGGACGGACAGACTGATAATTTATCAGTACAAGATTCTGGAAATAATTTTCTACTTGCCTGGGGTATTTGTGTGTTTTATTTTACATAAGATTTTATATACATATAAAAGAAGTGTTTATTTTACATAAAGAGGTAAGCTAATATTTGTATATAGGAAGAATTACAAAAGAAAATTACGATTTTCTAATATTTTGCAATAATTTATAATAATTTTTTAATATTTGTAAACGGCTACAGCCATTAAATAGATAACACCTTTTCATATCTAGTAGCCGATGTTTGACTTCGTTTAAAACCATAGATGTATATGTACACTTGATCTCATAAAATCTGGCCCACCTTGAAAAAGTTTATGTAAACAACTTAAGGCACACAGACGACACCGTCATTATTGCAGACAGTGCTGAAGGTTTACAACGACTTATGAATGCCATAACCAGAGAGGGAGATAGCTTGGGGCTGAATATACACGTGCACCAAATGCCGACTTTAATATTCGTATCTACAACAAACAGATAGAACCCGTAAAAAAATTCCAGTATCTTGGTTGCTGATAACAAACCATCTTGACTACAAAGTTGAAGAACGTCTTGTATAGAGTAAGCTAGGTCAGCTTTTCAAAGAATGAAAAAATTCCTAATAAACTCTACCTTATCGTTGATATCTGATACCAATTTGTAAAAACATTCATTTATTCCATATGTTATACGGAGTGGAAAAATGTACTCTCAGAATCACAAGTATGAGACATGTGGATTTGAGATGTGGGTTTTTCGAAAGATGCTGAAGATCTCTTGGACAGAGTACGTGACCAACAACGTCACTAACAACGTGTCCAACAAGGTGCTGAGAAGAATGGGACCGAGAGAGAACTCCTAAATATTGCAAAAACCACAAAAACGAGTCATCTAGGATATATTCACATAGGAGAAATATACAACTTCCTAAGATTGCTAATGGAAGGGAAAGTGAAAGGAAGAAGAGGTCCAAGAAGAAGAAAATGCTTCTTGCTGAAAAATTTAACAGAGCGAACAAGCATGAACGCACATTCGATATTAAGAACAGCTCAAAATAGAGAGCAATTTTCTGTAGTTATAGCCAACAAATTTCTGTAGTTAAGGGCATCTTAAGAAGAAGATGTGCCTTTTGGAGATGAGGCTAATTTCACAAAAATTGAACAATTAATCGTACAATATATATGGGAGTATATTATGCGAAGAGCACTTGAAGGATGGGAACAATGGCATCTCAATAAATGGTCATAAACTAAACAACCTACGTTTCGCAGATGACACACCCTTCTTGCAAATAGTCAAGCATGTTGATGGAACTTATACGACTGATCGAAAACGAAAGTCAAATATTTGGTCTGCAATTAAACATATCAAAGACAAAGATCATGATAATGGATCACATGATAGTGGATAGTAATATCGGGATCATGAATCACAAACACGGGTCATTACAAAAAGAGATTAAACGTAGATGTGATCTAGCAAACAGTTGCCACAGCAAAAAGTGACCAAAATATGGAAGGACTGTCAAATTCAAGAACGATAAAGATGAGGTTGAATCAACTGCTTAATATTCCCAATACTGACCTAAGGATGTGAATCTTGACTCTGAGACAATCGGAGAAGAAAGATAGACGCCACTGAAATGTTCTGTAAGAAGAATATTACGAATTCCTTGGACCGACCGTAGAACAAATAATTCAATTTTAAGAGAGCTAAAAGTTAGCCAACGACTCTTTAGTAAAGTCCATCCCAACAATTAAAATATTTTGGGCAGTTATGAGAGCAAACACCGAAAACATGGAAAGACTCATAATACAAGGAAAGGTAGAAGGCCGAAGATCAGAGGAAAGATCCCAACAAGATGGATTAGATCAAATTAAGGGAATAGCCAAGACCTATGCATGAATTAAAATGAAATGACCAGAGACAGAGATCTCGGAGAGCGACAATACACGACATCACGTCGACCACTACACTCCCCCTGGGGGTCAGGATTGAAGAGAGAATCTGTACAATTTTTATTACTAATACATCTATCAATTCCTACTTTATTAACAGTCATAGTCCAACTTTGTGAATTTATAAATGTTTTTGGTGATATTATTAGGGACTATGTGATTCGCCCACATTTGTTTTAAAGATTGTGTGATTGGTACCATATATCTGGATTCTTGAATAATAATTTACCATTCTTCTGCTTTTTCTTCTTCTTCTTCTTCTGGCACCGACTCCACTAATGAAGGTTGGCTATCACCATTACAAATTCTTCTTTATCTTCTGCTCTCCTTAACGCCTACTATGTTCAACCTGGTCGCCAATGCTTTTCAGCCAGGATATTTCGCTCGTAATATGATCAATCCATGGTATTTTCAAAATTATTCTAAAAGCCACATCCCAAAAGCTTTCAGTTTTCTCATCAAGTCAAGAAGAATAGAGTAAATAATAACTGCAGTTTCTGTAATTTGTTGGCCCTGATGATTGCCAACATCCGGACCGGATAAGGCACTAAAGAAGATCAGTTATTTATTAAAATGAAAATAATGTCTCTATATACACAAAGCTAAGTAATTTCAAAAAATTGGGTATTCTCGAAATTTGAAGAAAGCTAAAAACATCTCGCAATGAGTAATGGGTATTGTGACAGGAATTGTGACAGTACTGTCAGAAGTACCTGCATTCCAGCCTGGTGTCAATACAACACAGCTACGGAGGAAGCTACAATAGTTTTGTGGCATTTTGCCCTCTTAGATCGGAGTAACATTTAACAGTCAATACTATTCTTTTTTTCATATTCATAATATTAGAAATAATAACTTTGTTTACGGCATCGGCAGCTCAAAACCGATCAGCGGTTGTCTCTTGATAACGCTCTCGCAGATTTCGGAGCCGCGATTTTCTCCGGCCTAGGCAACTTCTATTGACGATCTTACTCTGTATTAGGTATGAGATAGAATGTTATGTGTCTCTGGGTGTCCCATTAAATGGTCGGAATATTATAACTTTAAAAGAACATTCTGGGTTCTGACTTTGTTATCTATACCTGCCAGTATTACCCCTGTTAGTTGAACAAGCTGAGGCGCTATTTGAAACTTCATCAGGGCCTCAAGTTATTCACTTCTATTTATTAAGGCATCTTTGGCTGGGTATTGATGTCGCACTCTAGAGTTTTCTCAAGAATTTGCCTCATTGTAAAGATTTTAGCCAGGCTAAAACGGAGGTATGCAGGACACATAGCTAGGATGACGGACAGACGATGAACAAAGAGATTGTCGGAATGGAGACCAATGGAGATATGTATGTTGATGATTTAAGATGGCTAAATAAAAAGTGGATGAGGTTTATATTCACCAGTGGACTTTTGAGGCTAAATGAGGGATTTGGTTGGTTGTTGATCTCTTAGGCCAGAAGCTGTACTGTTATCTCCCTACAATTTTTTTGACATAAGAGAGTATACACTAGACAGTAGTTTTTACGGCATATTGAGTAGACTGATGCCTCTATAATTCTGTCATACCATCATGTGTTCCTAGTTTTTAAATATCTCAGAAAATGAATTATTAGAACCAGGACTTTGTTGTTTTTAACATTAAAGTCGCTCGTCTAATTTGTTCTATGGTGGAAACTTTTTCTTCTTCGCGTGTCATATCAGAATTATCCGACATTGGCGATCACTATTGCGAAGGCTTTTCGATCTTCTACAATATGGAATAATTGTCCTTCATTTGATATTCGATTTTAATTAGTTGTAATATTTTATATCGACTTTCCCTTACTATATGTCCCAGATAAGACATTTTCAATATTTAACAGTCTTTAGCAGTCTCTTAGCAGGTATCTTTGTTGACGCTCCTTAGTACTTCTTCATTAGTTTTCCTTGCTGTCCAAAGTGTCTTCAGCATTCGTCTATAAAACGGTGTAGTTATCTCCAATTTTTACGATAACAATTTGACTCCAGTGCAAATTTTTAATGACACGAATATCCTTGTCATAATATTCCGATATTTTTCAGTATTTGCATTAATTTTACATGCTGTTCTTTATCGAATGCCTTTTCGAAGTAAACGAAACATGCAAATATATATTTTCTTTGGTCACGGCATTTTTGTAATAGGATGATAAGCGCAAAAAGTACCTCCCTGGTTCCCATAGCATTTCTAAAACCAAAATGGGTATCTTCGAGATCTTCTTCGCATTTGCGTCTAATTTTGTTGTGAAGTATTCTCTTGTGGGAGCTAACGGAATCTAAATAATGTACAGAATAACAAAATAGAGCAAAAGACAAGCTATACAACGAATAAACGGCAAAAATAATCTGAGGTAAAATGAGTTAATAAATAATGAAGTAAAAAAAGGAGGCAACTAATTTATGAATACTTTCATAGAGCCAACATGAATCAAGCGTAAGATATTGCGCTACATATTTTCCAAGCAATCCAATTACTAATTATATCGCAGCCTAATTGAAAATCCCTTCTGACGTAGGAAATAATGTTTTACTGAAAATGAATCGAAATCGATTCCAATGTGGTATCTCCGCCGTCGGTGTCATCCGAACGACACCACATCGAGTGTAGTATTCGACGCCGAGGACGCCGACGCATGACTCTGCGTTGCTTTGGTATAGGTCAAGTTTCATTAATAAATATTGTATGTGGGAAGGTAAGAATGTAAATAAGGGAAGTAGGCGGTTCATTATTAACAGAATTCATTTAAGTAACTTATTTAACTCATCTATCTTGAGGTTTATCAGTGAGCTCGTTTTTAGACTTACCATATTTCAAGAATTAAGCAACTTAAAGACGTTTTTAATATTGTCATTTGTAAAAATTATATAAGCTTTTTTATTATTAACATAAATAGGGTTATTGACAACTTAAAACTTAACACTTAATTTTTGTAATAATGGGTATGACCTCCTCTTGCCCTAATAACATCTCTCATACGATTAGGCATAGATCTAATCAAGTTTGCTATTGTTGCTTGTGGGATGTTACGCCACTCTTCTTCTGCTGCAAGAATAAGTTCTGGGATCGAGTTTGGGGTATGAAGTCTAGCTCGAATTCTTCGTTTTAGCTCATCCCATAAATGTTCGATCGGATTTAGGTCAGGACTATTTGCTGGCCAGTCTATAACCTGAAAACCGACTTCTGCAATGTAATCTTGCACGATTTTTGCGGTGTGTACCCTTGCATTGTCATGCATAAAGATAAATTCGTCTCCAATGTAGTCGACGTAAGGTACCACATGAATTGCTAAAATCTCCTCGATATATCTGGCAGCCGTTAAACCTCTTCTTTCATGAACACGGTCGTCCCTACGAATGAACTCAAGATTGGTTCGTGCTCCTATAGAAATTGCACCCCAGATCATGCAGGAACCACCCCCATAAGCACTCCGCTCTTCAAAGCAGCATTCTGCAAATCTCTCTCCTGGTCTCCGGTACACTTTCCTTCTTCGGTCGCTACCATAGAGGTATATTTTGGTCTCATCTGAGAACAGAACAGATCCCCATTGTTCCAACGTCCAATTCCGATGATACAATACTGACAGAGAATGTAGCGTAGAAGTAATTTTAAACTGTTTGTCCTCGTTTTAGTGTAGTGTCTTGTACAATTTATGTTATTTTTAATGTTTTCCACATTCTTCGCTTGCCGGATAGTTCTTATTTTGACGAAATGCCCCTGAAGATGCTATTTTAAGCGAAAGTACTTGGGCTAGATTTAATTAACTTGTGCTCGATAATAGCCTTATTTTCAAAGTTCATTTTGATTTGTTGGATCTTGATATCCTAACTAAATGATCAGTAATATATTTTCAATGATTTGTAGTAGTCATACTAATTGCACTGGGGGTCTTTAATGCAGTGGTTCCCCGTTATCTCCAAATCTTTATGCCGTTGACCTTTGTCAGTAGGTTTTTTTCGCGACAAATTTATCAATCAAGGATAAAAACCTGCCATTCCACTTCTCAGCTCATCCGCCAGGGGTCGTTGGTTAGTAAGTGACATAGCTGGCATATAATTGAGCACAATCTAGGTCTATTATATGTATATCATTCTTGTATGCTCTGTACACAGAATCTAATTTGTTATGGAGCAAGATTTACTAAGTTCAGTCTAGTTCATCTATCACTAGTGCAGATAATGTCTTTGCTGTCATAATTCTAATTAAAGTGAATTCAACGTCAGACAGATTGCTACCTATTAAAAAATAAATAAAACAACATTAACATTAAAAAATGTATTTGTCCATTGTCACAAAATACAAAATATATCTCGATAAAATGTATAAATAAACTTCATACTGAACAGGCAACTCTCAACAGTAATTTTTTGGTTAAACTTCAACAGCTAGTGCAATTCCCATTCCTCCTCCAATACATAACGCAGCAACACCTTTCTTCAAGTCCAATCTGTGCAGATTATGGATCAGAGTAACGAGAACTCTGGTTCCGGAACAACCTAACGGGTGACCCAACGCGATAGCGCCACCTGTGATGTTTATTTTAGAGGCGTCTATGCCGAGATCTTTGTTCACAGCGATACTTTGAACAGCAAAGGCTTCGTTCAGCTCGTAAAGGTCAACTTCTTCTTTGGACCAACCAATTTTCTTTAACTATAAAAAAAAAACTATATAGATAGAGTATAACAGTGTTATGTATACAGAGTGGCCCAAAAGTCTGGAAACGGCTAATTATCTCGTAAATTACTAGACATAATTATACAAAATTTGAGATACGCCTATTTTGGGATACGGAGATTCAATATTTGGTATTTGCAATGTTGCCAGATTTTCAGTTTCTCTTATATTACTAGTAACTTTGGTTTTCAAATGCATCGCCTGTATATTCAGTCATTATTGGAATCTCCTATTAAATACGAGTTCAACCATATGTAACACTTATGATTTTATGTAGTCTGGAAGGTCTTAAATGCATAAAACAGAAGTCTGGCAACGCCTAAATTGTTTCAATACATTTTTAATACTAACTATTTTCAAATACATTAAAACGTAGCAATTGATAGTTTAGAATATTTTTTAACATAATAGTTACGTTATTAAGTGTTCAAAATGTGCTCAATTTGTGAGTTGACAGCACTCTAATCGATGGTAGAATGCGTCTACCACATTTCTCCATGAATGTCTAGAAATTATTCGAGATTCATCGATAATTCATTGCCTTAGCTATGCAAGACTTGCTGGTTAAGTTTTGTAAACTGAATTTTTCAAGTATATCTAATAAAAATAATCTTTAGGATTGAGATCGGGTGAACGTGGAGGCCATTCAATTCTACCATGTTTACCAATTTATCGTCCGGGAAATATCTCATCTAAATAACGCCGAAAATTTACACCAACTATCTGACGTTAAATTTTTTTCGATTAAAAATGGCCCAATTAAATAAGTACCTACTATAACTGACCATACGTTTAATTTTTGTGGTCTTTGAGTATGGTTTTCACGTATTCAGTGTGAATTTTACACGAGTTCAGCTATTCGATACGAGTTCAACCATATGTTCACTTGATTTTATGTAGTCTGAAAGATCTTAAATACATAAAACAGTGGAAAATATGTAGAATTTATTAAATTTAAATATTTAAATGGCGAATGCTGTGATTTTGACATTTGTTCACCATTTAAATTGTGAACTAAAATTGACAGTAGTTGTGGTTCAAAAAGTTCTGCAATTTAAATTGCTTCTCTAAATGCCGTTCTCTAGACCGTTCTCCTATTCATAAGACGACGGTACAAAAAGCTGTAAGGCGATTTGAGGATCTGAAGAAGTAAAAGATGGATACCGATCAGGTTGACCGAAACGAGTTATCAATGACAACAAAACTTCAGATATAAGAAAAGTTTTGTTGAAGATCCACATACATCCCCAGGCAGGGTTGCACAAGTACATGATGTAGGTCATTCTTCAGTCTTACGTTTATTACGTAAAAATAAATTTAAATCATACAAAATTAACTTATTGCAAGAATTAAGTGAAGATGACTTTGGTCGTAGATTAGAGTTTACCGAGGTAATGATGGATAAAATTGAAAATTATTAAAATTTCGTTAACAGAATATGTTTTTTCCGATGAAGCAACTTTACACTGTGTAGAAGTGTAAATCGACACAATTTAAGGTACTGGTGTGACGTAAATTCACACTGAAGACTGAATGCGTGAAAACCATAGTCAAAGACCACAAAAATTATATCTATGGTCAGATATAGTAGTTACTTATTCAATTTGGTCATTTTTTGTCGAAAGAAATTTAACGTCCGATATTTGGTGTAAATGTTCGGCGATATTTAGATGAGATATTTCCTGGACGATAAATTGGTAGACAAGGTAGAATTGAATGGCCTCCACGTTCACCCGATTTCAATCCTAAAGATTATTTTTATTAGGGATACTTGAAAAATTCAGTTTACAAAACTTAACCAGCAAGTCTTGCAGAGCTAAGGCAACGAATTATACATGAATCTCGAATAATTTCTAGACAGTCATGGAGAAATGTGGTAGACGCCTTCTACCATCGATTAGGGTGCTGTCAACTCATAAATTGAGCACATTTTGAACACTTAATAACGTAACTACTATGTTAAAAAATATTCTAAACTATCAATTGTTACGTTTTTAATGTATTTGAAAACAGTTAGTATTAAAAAATGTATTGAAACAATTTAGGCGTTGCCAGACTTCTGTTTTTATGTATTTAAGACCTTCCAGACTACATAAAATCATAAGTGTTACATATGGTTGAACTCGTATTTAATAGGAGATTCCAATAATGACTGAATATACAGGGTGATGCATTTAAAAAACCAAAGTTACTAGTAAATATAAGAGAAACTGAAAATCTGGCAACATTGCAAATACCAAATATGGAATCTCCGTATCCCAAAATAGGCGTATCTCAAATTTTGTAAAATTATGTCTAGTAATTTACGAGATAATTAGCCGTTTCCAGACTTTTGGGCCACACTGTATAACTCTTACATCAAATACTGTAATTCATATTTCTTTTGTACATTGAACATCATAACACAACATACTAGACCACACCTTCTTTTGAGGTGCAAATGTGTGAATTTTACCATTTTTAAGTATCTTGCGCTGCTGCAAATTAAAAGATATTGTCTGTTTCAAATTTATTTCTTATTTTTTTAAACTATTCCTATTATTCAGCAATTTTTGGAAGATCATATTTGCCTCACTTGTTGAAGAAAACTTTCGTCTGATCCAAGATAATGCTCGTCCGCATCCCGCAAGAATAACACGGAATTACTTGGATGAAGTTGAGATTCTTTTATTACCATTGGCCCCCAAGGAGTGCAGACTTATATCAAATAGAACATAGATGGGATATTCTGGGACGACGTATTCGACGTAATCAAGGTGAGTTTGAAACCATAAATAATTTCGAGCAAGCAGTTAGTGACGAATGAGAGCAAATCTCTCAAGCATAATTTGCTGCCTTAATCCGAAGTATGCTTGATCGAATGAGAGCCGTAATTAGGGCTCGTGGATGTAATCCACTCTACTAAATATCGTTTTCCATAAAAATGTTTATATTTTTTCTTTGCAGATTTTCAAATTTTTGGAATTGTTTATAGTTTTTCTGTGTAACATTCTTAAGTTGTAATAAATTTTACTTTTAAATTTTGTTTATTATTAAATACTCAATTGGGAACATCTTAAACATTTTTAAACGCTAGTTGTTAGGACAAATCTGAATGTCCTGTTAGTTTTGCACCCTAGAGTAGAATACTCAACAATCTAAGAAGGATCTCAGAATTCATATTACTCTTCTGTCGCTACTACTAACGATATTGTCGCTGGGATTGGTAAAAGCCATCCCTTCGATGTTTATGTCACATCTCAATCCAATCAATTGAACTGGCGCAGTCATCAAATAATTTTTAAAGAAACTAATTAGGCAATGTATTTCTAACTGATCTAGTACGTATAAAAGATTTCGTAGCAAAACTCTACAGAGCTGTAGAACTCAAAATACTTACAAGCTTATTAACAGCTCCAACTGGACCCATACCCATGATCATAGGATCAACTCCATCCTCTGCAAATCCCACGATTCGCGCTAAAAGGCGTCAACTGTCTTTGTTTTAACTGTTTTTCGCTAACAAGTAATACTGCTGCGGCACCGTCATTGATCCCTTCAAAAATGATTTTTAATAATTATTTGTACAATATTTTGACGACAAAAAATATTTTATTAGTAATAGAGTGTACATTAAAAGAACAAAGCCACCTATGCAATGCACAGAAAAACTATATTATTATAGTTTTTCTGTACATACTATATATTAGTGGAAAGAAAATTTACTATTTGAAAATAAAGAAATAAAGAAGCATTTCCTTTACCTGAAGCATTTCCAGCTGTAACAGTACCATTGGATATAAAACAAGGCCTGAATTTCGATAGTTTTTCAACGGTCGTTCCAAATTTGGGAAATTCATCTTTTGCTATTAGGTTGCCAGTCTTTTTGTCGGGCACGCCAACAATTTCCTTTTCGAAAAAACCGTCGGTTACAGCCTTCTCAGTTTTATTCTGCGATTTGCAGGCAAACTCGTCCTGAGCTTCTCGCGAAATACCGTAAATTTTTGCTAAATTTTCAGCTAAAATAAAAAAAAATATATGTAATGGAAATAAAATTAATTTACATTTTTAAGAATTAAATATTTGTGGTTATTATAGTTATTTAGCGACGATATTCTTCTTCTAATAAGATTTTATCTTTATTTTTCCGCGAATAATTAATTGATGAATATTATCATTTATTTATAGTATACATAATGAAGCCTGGTCCTACCAAAAGCGCGACTCACATCAAAATTCTACATTTCTCTTATACGCATCCTCTCTCTATCGATCTATCTATCTAATCTAATTAGCCTTCTTCGGTCCATCTTTGGACATAGGCCTCCCCAATCCTTTTCCATTCTTCTCTGTCTGTCGCTACAGTCATCCATCTAGAGCCCATGTGCTTCTTGATATCATCTGCCCATCTCATTTGGGGCCTTCCTCTGCTTTGTTTATATTCCCACGGTCTCCAACTTATAAGAATTTTGTTCCATCGGTCTTCTTTTGTCTTATATTGTGTCCGGCAAATCTCCATTTCAATTTTGCAACTTTCTTGTCTAACATTCCTCACTTTTGTTTTCTCTCTTATCCACTCGTTTCTCTTCTTATCCATTAGTCTTTGTGCAACATTTGTCTTTCCATTGCTCTTTGGGATTTTATGATTTTGTCCATGTTTGCTTTTGTAGATGTCCACGTTTGGAAACCATAAGTAAGAACAGGGAGTACGCATTGATTATATACTTTGTCTTAAGATGTTGTGGATATCTTTTGTTTTTAAGAATGTAGCTTAGTTTGCCAAATGCCGCCCATGCCAGTCTAACTCGTCTCTTGATCTCTGCTGTTTGGTTCTCTTTGTTAAGTTTTATAATTTGACCAAGATATATAAATCCTTAACTTGTTCTATTTCATCTTGTCCGATTCTCATTGTGATGTCTTCATCTGTATTTGTTATAGTTTTGGTCTTCTCTCTAACACGGATATATAGTTTGCGTAGCGTGGCAATATTCCACCGGCTAAGTGTGGAATCTCATTCTGTGTCCTGTAGTTTTTCTGAGTTACAAATCCGTGCACAGCTAGTCTTCTCCTTGTTAAACATCGCGCTGGAAGAACACCGGCCAAATGTATACAATGCCGTAAAGAACGACGAGAACTAAGTTCAATCCGGAGTATTGATCTGGCAAGAACTTCTACCCCGGTACCTAAATACTGAACAGAGGTCACCGCCGTTTCCCTTCTCTGCGATCGAATATTTATCAATCGTTTTGGTACCGCACCTCGAGTATTGATCCTCGGTTTTTGGGTATTGACTAAAGATCTTCCTTCGTTCTACCCATCCAAACGCCGCTAATATTTATGTTCCAAGTTTGGTGTCTAATGAAGCTACCGTCACAAGCAGACGTAAATAATGTTACTTAGGTCATTTCAGGCTCTGAACCTCGCACGAAATCAGAAAACGTGCTAACTGAACGTAGTTATAAAGGTTATATACACGCCCTTATTCTGTATCAGTTCGAAATAATTCAGAGTTTTGGTATTACAGGGGCAGTATATGGATTAAGGAAGCTTATGTGGAACGTACAGTGAAGGAATTACTCCTCGTTCCATGTAATTCGTTTATCTCTGTTGATGTCCGTTTTATGGGACACGGGTTCCACAATAGAATTAGGGAGATTAGGGAGTGTAGGAAATGTAAGAAAATAAGGATCTTTACTTAAGCAGCAATAAAAAGGAAGTCGTTGAATACAAGAAACGCACATTTGGAGACATTCTCGGTCGTAATCGTAAATTATGACAGTATCATCGGCATATCTAATATTATTTAATCTCATTCCGTTTATACATACATTCGAAAGTGTAAAAGTTTTGTGAATAACGATAAAAAGTTACCTATTGTTACTGATTTCGCTTGAGTTATCTAAAATCTTGATTTTACTTATGTAAATAATGTTTGTATTGTAAATATAGTACTTACCGGTGTGGCCCATATGAGTATCTTTGTTAACAGCATCGTGCAGTCCATCTTTTAGTAACGTATCTGACAAATTTAAGTTTCCCATCTTGGCGTTTCGAAGATAAGCTGAGTGCTCAGCTCTGGTCATACTTTCTTGTCCTCCTGCTACAATTACTTCATAGTCTCCGTTTTTAATTCCTTGATATCCTAATGCAACGGTCCTAAAAGATTTAGGTTGATTTTAAATCGCTCAAAAAATCTAAATCTGTTCTTAAATCACTTAAAAGTTTAGGTGATTGAACTAAAGAAAAAATAACAATGCAGAGTCAAAACGTTTCCATTGGCAACATGTTTGTTTTACTTTAGTAATTAGTTTTTTCTACTCTCTTACAAATGTATTACCTACTATTTGGATGCTAAGTAAATACATCATAACAGATACTGACACGTAATGACTAGCACGTAATTAAAAAAAAAATTACGCTTCAGTTTTATAAAAATGTGTAATATCACATAAGCCTCGTAAGTCAGTTGGTCGAGTTACCATGGAAACGAATTAACAGACGTTATTTTAACAGATTAAAAAATATTAATCTGTCAGTGTAAATATAGTGGTAATTTAATTTTTATATTTATAAACGAAAATAATCGTAGAAAAAGTATAGTACACAACTTGAGTTATAAGCTTATTACATGCTTGTAAAATTACTGCGCTACGGCTCGCGCGCAACTTTTTTACTCGCAAGTAATAAGCTTCTTACAACTCTCGTTATGTAATATACTATTACGTATTACTTTAGCAATACATAATAATGCCGGAGAACATGTAGCTAAGGAAGATGTTTTACAATGGCTAGAAGTAGATGAAGGTGATCCTGGGTATAATATTATGATTTAAAGTGGAATAGCAGATAAAGGTATGAACCTAAAAAATGAGGATGGAAGTAAAGATAGCGAAAAAGACGATAAAACAACACTGCCAAAAATGAAGTTATCAGAGGTAAGATCGCATCTCGACGAACTAATAACATTTATTGAATATTCATCAGATAACTAAGTTCAATTGTATTTTAGGCATTTTCAACATTTTAGAGAGTTGATTATAAAAAAAAAACCAGCAAACATCGAAAGTGCAAACTAAACTTAATTTCTTCTTCAAAACAGGATTCAAACAGCAAGCGCGTCAATATCAACAGCAACGTCACTTCACGACAAACGTTCGAAAACAAATAAATTGAATTTTGTTGGTATTTTGTATTTTACATATATCTAAATGCTGTGTACATACATATTTAAAAAAAGGTTTTTGATTTATTTTAAACATATTTTTTATATAACGGACTTTCGGCTTGAACAGACACCCCGTTCCCCCGAAGAGTCCGTTATATCGAGGTTTTACTGTATATTAAATTTGTGTGAAAATGTTTTTTGTCTATTTTAAGTATATATTTAAAAAATCGACAGGTTCTCAGACCGTTTTTTCGAAAATATTTGTTTTTGGACATTTTCTAGATTTGCGGACTTCTAGTCCGACGTTACATTTTGTGTACCATCATGTCCTGTTATCCCTGAAAGGTTAATCGCGTTGTATAATTCGGCATATTATCCAAGCCTGGAGAATACCATTGCCTACATTTTCTAAATAATTTTTTTGGTTATTCAGGACTGATTATTAATAAATTATCGACCAATGTCTCACAAACACTTTGTAAGTATATACTTTTATAGTGTATTTTTATGTATGGAGAGACTAATAAAACAATAAATTATGTATGCAAATCCCTAAACTGTTTGATACGGTGACTCAATGAAAAAACAGATATTTGTCAACAAGTTTAGAGAAGTATATAGGAAAACAATTTTAAATTGAGTATGACCACCAGGTATAAAGGTTGAAGCAGAATAGAATACAATAGTTGTGAGGGTTATTAACCTCTAAATAAGGTTGCCAGTGTCGGAGTGATGGAGGTTAACAGGTACTAATGAATTTGCAAGAAATGTAAGATGTTTATTTTATTGGTTATCTATAACCAATAAAAGTTTAATAAGTACCTACCTATTTGCAAAATAAAGTTTAATTCTTTAGATAAAATAAAACGTTTTATTTTATCTGAAATGAGTGCATTCCACGAAGTAAGGGTTTCAACAATCAAACATTTAATTCTTTAATTCCAGGAATCTACGATAGTAATTGACTAGATAATTACCTTCTAAACTTATTCCACAGAAATGTGATAGTGGGTTTTTTCCATTTTGTAGGAAGGTCCAAGTGGCGTATTATAAATTCTTAACAGTTCACTAAAAGTAGGTACTTCAGTAGCAAGGTGCAGTTTATTGTGTATACTAGTGTTATGGAAAATTTGGAAGTGCCGTGTAAACGCCGATAAATTGGTCCTTTAACAGTTAATAAAAAAACATTAATATTTAATTGTTTTAAATCATTTACAGACAAACGTTTATGTGAAAGTGTTGATGAGACCGTTGAGTTAGTTAGCAGTACACTTGGTGTTGGGAAATTCTACGATTTACAGAGTTATTAAAGAAGAGAAATGTGGTATTTTCAAATGCCACGTAATGCTCCAGGGAAACCAAAATTTCAAATAGAATATCATTTTAAAGAAGGACTTCGAACGGAAAGTGCATGAATTCTTCTTTAGACAAGAATTTCCAACATTGGATAAAGTTCTTGTCTCAGTTCGAGATGATAAGGATTACCCAGAAATGAGTCGAAGTACGTTATGGAAACTTTAAAAGAAATAGGCTTCCGCTGGAAAAAGAATCCCAGAAAGTCTATTTTATTAGAAAGAAGCGATATTGTCATATGGAGAAGACATTTTCTAAGAACCATAAAGGAAATAAGAAACCAAAAAAGAAAATATTTTATCTTGATGAAACATGGATCAACGAGGTCATACACCAAATAAATTTTGGCAGGATGAAACTGTTACAAGTCAAAGGCACGCTTTTGTAAATAACTTATCTACTGGTTTAAACCCACCATCAGGAAAGGGACACAGGCTGATAATAGTACACATTGGCAGTTCAGACGGTTTTGTTGAAGGTGGTTTATTAACTTTTGAATCAACTCGTACCGGTGACTACCATAAAGACATGAACGCTGATGACTTTCAAGAATGGTTCGAACAAATGATAGATCTTCTTCCTAAGAACTGTGTAATAGTAATGGATAATGCAAGTTATCACTCCAGACTTATAGAAGGACTGCCCACAACCAAGTGGTTAAAAAAAGACTTGCAGAATTGGCTGAGTTCAAAAAATATACGTATCATCCCGGATCTATAAGAAAGGAACTTTATTCGTTGTGTGCCCTTCATAAAGAAAAATTTTAAAAATCCGAAATTGATGAAATTGCCAAAATCGTGGAATGGCAGTACTTAGATCCCCACCATATCATTGTGAATTAAACCCGATTGAAATGGTATGGGCACAGATAAAGAGTGAAGTTTCAAGAAAAAATACCACTTTTAAAATTCATGATCTTAAACAGTTGTTTTTGGAGGCCGTAAATAATGTAAAACCTGAAAACTGGAAAAGGCAGTAAATCACACTATTAAAGAAGAGGAAAAATGTGGAAGCTGGACAATATTACTGATAAAATGATCAAGCCAGTTATTATAAATCTTTGTAACAAGTAGCTGTAAGTTTTATATTAATATTTTTATTCATCTATTTTAACATACCTTAGACGGTTTTTAAAAACTCTTTTTCTCTTTTGTAATTTTTAAAAATTAAAAAAAAATGTGAATTTTTTAAAACCCTTTTTATTGTAGGCCAGTCAGTTCTAATATAGTGTGTGATAAAAGAGGTCACTTTTGTTTACATACACATAACACTTTTATAATACTGAAATAATTCATTTATTTTTTACAATTATTCAAAGTAATTTTTCAATTAATCTTGAGCACGCCCATGGAGTGGTCGGAGGTACCAGTTAAAATTATGCTAATTACTCTCTCGTTCATAAAAATAAACTATAACAAGTACCACGATTAAAGTGGAGTCAGTTATTTATCAATCTTAACTAACTATGACAATACCATCATTTAAATTAACAATCTACAATCTCAACTTACTTAAGTCCTGATCCGCAAAGCAAATTCAACGTATACGCCGTGCTGCTTGTAGGAATTTTAGCTCCCAATGCAGCTTGTCTTGCGGGGTTCTGGCCTTGACCGGCGGTTAAAACCTAACAATAGAGAGAATTTTTATTCAAAGCAGGCAATTTAAATTTAAATTCATATACAAAAAAGTGTAAAACGTCCTCGTTGAAACCAAGTAAACAATTAACAACTTTGTATCCGAAAACAAAAACAATAAACAAGTTTTTACGACATAACATTAAAAAAATCTTTAATCCAAGTTATAAAGTTGGTGTAATTTAGATTTTTTAAAAGACGACAATAATTAAAATATTTAATATACGTTTTAAATAGTCCTCTAAATTAGAGGACTATTTTATCACTTATTGCCTCATTACTTAGCTCCACGTGTGTTTTATCTAATGGTTTAAAAATTATTTTTATTTATTATTTTTATATCACTTAATGTTTTTGTTAAACTCGACTTAATAGTTACGCATCCAACTATCTGTTAAATAATATAATAGTAAAAATAATTTCTGGCTATTACTTATCGTCATCATCGTTCAATCACTTCTGATCATAAGTATTTGCATATTTTCTTTCTTTAAACCTAGTTTATCTGTGAAAAATCTTCGATTTCGTTTAAAAATATTTCACAGGTTTTTGAAGGTGCTATGAGGAAAAGCTGATGACAAATGTGACAACTGTCCAAAAACTTACTTTGGTCAAACTGGTAAAATTTTTAACAAACGTATAGCAGAACATAAAAGGACTTTCAATAATAGAAAAACAGATTCTACATACGCACTTTACCTAGATCGTAATCATTCATTAAATGACGAATTTCAAATTCTTCTTATCCAAAATAAACCTTCACATCCTTAATTTTTATTAGAATTTATGGAAATTAACGAATTAAAAATACAGACATAATTCTGAGTGACCTACTTGAGACATACAGTTCTCCCCTCCTCAACATATTTATTTAAAGACTATAAAGTGTACAGATACACATACCTAGCAAAAATGGATAACTTGAGAAAGACACTCTGCCGAAACAGCTGTGGTGATATGATATTATAATAAATTTGAAATCGTTGAAACTTACAGCTGAGATTGCTGTGTTTTTAAATAACATTTTATGCGAGATGCGCCTATTAAAATCAGTAAACAAAAAATCTTGTTTATTTTATAATCTTTAAACCTAACACATCATTAATTTTAATAAATGCTATATTTAAACACGTTCTAATTAACATATAAATAACAAAACTAGTTCATTAGTAGCTCATTTAAACTAGTCTATAATCAAATAGCTCACAAATTATATAAAACATCGTTTACAAATACTAATTTGTAAACGATATGTTATAAGTATTTAAAGGAAGATTTTACCTGCCCCATTATAACTTGGTTTACATCTTCTGGTTGAAGACTTGCTCGTTTAACAGCTTCAGCGATCGCAACAGTTCCTAATTCAACAGCAGAATGTTTTTCAAACTGTCCTTGAAAGCTCCCTGAAAGGAAAACCTTTTTGAAACGGTTTTTAAAATAACGCGACAAATAGCAAATTAGGGGATGGTTTGGTATTAAGCTTAGTCTTTAGGAATAGTATTACGTGAAAATTAGTTTTGGCATATGTGATGGAATGCATGTGTTATGGAATGTTTTAACACTAGATATTTCAGTCCGCTCAGTCCACAGTAAAAAAAAAACCGACAGTATGCACATACTACAAGAAATATGGTGGTTATTATGACCACTTTGGTTTTCACAACCTACTATATTTCGAATTACTTAAAATTAACTTTTAAAATTTATTAAATGTTGTTTATTGTGTTACTAGTTTCAGAATCAACAATTTGCACTCCATTCTAAGACCGTACAAATAAAACCAACGCTCACAATATTTATATTAAAAAAAACAAAAAAGTTGCCCTTGTAGTCTTCTTAGAATTGGTAGAATTGATTGGATTTCGATTAGATTAGGGTAAATTCTCACACTAAAAAATCGTCCAAAATCCTTTTTATTTTTCTAGGAATACTATTTTTTCAACTTGTTTTGATATAAGTAGTACATAATATCATATAATGATATAATAAAAATAATATTAAAAATCGCATAGATCGCACAATTTTATAGAAACAGGAAACGAAAAGACAAAAAAACTGTCAAGTATTATCCTACTACAACAAAACAACTAATTGATTTTCTTTTTTGAGGCTCAAATAAACGTTGAGGTCAACCATTCGTTGGGTATCTCGCCAGATTGATACATTTCATTAAATAGTCTTACCAGGACATCCATGTACCCATGCTCTATTATCTTAACGATGTTGACAGGTAGTTAATCTGGTCCAGTGCTTTTTTAGTTTCGTATGTTCTTTTATGCATACAGTATTTCTTCCTTTGTAATTTCTTCACTTGTTTCTTTTTCTTCTATCAATATGTCAGTAAGTTCTCTTTCGCCTTTGAACAGCTCTTCAATATATTCCCGTTTTTATCTAAAAGAGTTGTGTTGTGTCTTTTTTCGCAAAGCTGCTGTTTCTTTAAAATCTTTTTGTAGGTTGAATAGATCGTAGTTGTTCTGAACATTTTCCATCTCTTTACATTTTTCCTCAAGGTAGTTTGTTTTGTTTCTCTTATCTTTTTTCTGTCTTGATTGTTACATCAGTACATCAAAGATATTCTCCAAGATCCTGTTGTAACTTTTGCTCCATACATTAGAGAATTTTTTTAATGTGAAATAATTCGCGCCCATACGATACATGCTGTGTAAGAGCTTATTACAATCGGGTATAGCAACAATGAATCGGCCACCGTGTTCCCCAGACCTAAACCCGATAAAGCATGTGTAGGTGAAACATAGGGCACATGTTGCTGCTACTCAAAACAGAGTTGAAGTTGAAGAGAGACTGCTTGAACAATTGATCAATAGCCTTATCAGCCATATTTTGTTTGAGTCTGACATCTTTGTGTTTTATTTCTTCCTAAACAGGATTCACATTGTACTACCATTGTAATACACATTCAAAAATACTTTGTGTGTAATTAAAATAAGCAAATAATAACAAGTGTTTCAGAAAAACAGAACTCGACAACAGACATCATCATCATAATTCACCAGATGAGTAGTAAACATACTTATAGGAAAAATATATCTTCCAGAATGATACAGATTATGCAAGAACCTGACTCATTAACTATAATTAAAGCAGGTGGTAAGTTAACTAAAGATTTTTAAGCTTAAAATCCAACTTTTTATGGCTGAATATAAAAAAAATTGTTTGTCAAGTAAACATATCTTCATAAATCTGTTTACTTCTAATACAGCTACTCCACAGAATCAGTCTAGTGAAACTAGATATCAATACATTCTTATATATAACATCCTAAAAGCAATACGAAGAAATTTTTGGCCAGTTCAAACTGTGTAGAAAAACAGAAAAGGTAGAAGAATGGCAACACCACCTGTTCAGCAGTTTAAGTGATAGCGATAATAATTTGTGATGCAAAAGGTATTATTCACATTGATTACCTGTAAGAGAGTGCAGCAATAATGACTTGACCTATATAGCTCTATTTGATTGATTTAAAAAAAAATGTCTTGGTCATCTCACCAAAATATAATCTTTTATCTAGACAATGTTCAGAGACAACCACCCTCTGTGTCAGATTTAGTCATTTGTGAGATTATATCCCTATACTACACAAATCACCAAATGGCGGACCACAGTCCACATCCGGAGCTGAGTGTCCGTACCGCGGAAGTGTAGTGGGTTTTTGAAACGGACCCTCAGGGAATATATTTGGTGACCCCTGCTATACTACATGATGAGATAACACCTAATACTTCACACTATACATTTCTGAAACTATTGTCTTGTGGATGTTCCACACTGATCATTTTTGCATATTGAAAACAAAACTTAATGAACTTCACATTATTTTGAAGATGAAGTAGTGAGTTAAATGGAGTGTTTAAAAATAAATACAGAAATATAAAAAAATGAGTTTTTTGTGTAGGCTAGATTATTACTATACTATTATCATAGAGTAGGTTGAATCTTAATAAAAATTTACCTATTAACACTATATAAGTTGGTAAAAATGTTGTCCATTCATTTTAAACATAAACTCTTCTGCAAACTCAACAAAAGTGTTATGCTGAAAAGCCTGAATATTTTATTTGTATATTTCATAGCAGCAATGAATTTGATAAAACACTCTTAAAGCAATAATTATCAAACGCCAATTTAGAATGTTCTTCACATAGAAAAATCAGTCTGAAATTGTGGAATTGACAATACGATTCTGTTAAGTTAATTTAATACTATACAATACATTGCACTCTAATGTATTATATTTATTGTTCTCTGTAAAAATGTTTATTTTGTTGTCTTCACATGTAACTGTCAAATGTATTATATATAAGAAGAAAAGATGAACATATAAAAAGTATTTCAGACTTCTTGCTAGGGAATACTTAAATGACTAGAAAAATAATTACTGTCATAGATATGTTATCGTACTATCTATATTCTTTGGTACTATACCTCATTTTTGGTTGCATTCAATCAGATCTCAAAATATTTACCCAATATTTTCAAACTTTCTTTTTGAATACTGACACCAATTTCACTAATAAAATCGTATTAAATTTAACATTGTCATTAATGGTATACACATTCTTTTTGAATATTTGTATATTACTTATACTTTCAAAGTTAATTAAAATTTTAGATAAACTATTGGAACATACCTATAGGAGTCCTACAGGCCGCAACTATATACACCTCAGACATTTTGTTTAACTGTAATACTTTTAAAAATACTTCTTAAAACTATACGACCACTCCTTGCCAACTGTGAACATCGGCAAGTTTGTTTCTACGAATTGTTCTACTTTTATACCATATTTATTTAAATATGTAAATATAACCTAAAAATATATGTCAAAATTGTTGGCATGTTGCCAGACCTCAGGAAACGTATGTTAGCATCATGGAGAATATAAAATTCAATTTATATTATCTGTGGCAGGAATCTACAGAAAGAAGGTCATAAATGTAGATATTTATTTAACTCCTTGTGTTGCCACATAATATTGAAACAATAATTGATTTGTGTTGTGAGCAACTGTTATTGGAGGTTGTGTACATTGAAAAAGGGTTTTATTAGAACGATCTTTAGTTTATTATTAAAGTGCTATTACTGATGTAAGGGCTAGTAATCTTATATCGTTATTTAAATAATAAACTAAGAAACACTTCTTAGAAAGTTTCTTAATTTGTGCTTGCATTCAAAATTTTGATGATCTATGAATGATGCAGTGATTTGGAATTATATTACAACGTAAAGTTTGGTATTATAATGAGTGTAAATTATAATGAGTGTAATGCCAATTTCTAAAGTCGCCAATTTCTAAATCGCTCACCTGATTCTATGTATATAAAACATTTGCCTGAATGTTAGGCAGCCAATATTCCTTATCAAGTATTACACAAACCGGGATGCATATTCGCCAATCCCAATACGTACGGCATAGGAAAATAAATACGAACCTCCGATTGGTCCTAATTTAAACGTCATTTACAACTCACCCTAACTTGAAATTTTTATGTTTTGTTTATTTTCTATTGATATTGAAATAATATTCAGAATTTTAAAACAATAAAACAATAGACTAAATGGAACCTTGGATTTTAATCTTACCACCTCAGAATGCCCACTCTAGATGGAAAATTAAGTACGCGCATCTCCTTCGCGCAGACGTTCCGTCATGTTTTAGAGGGAACCAGTGTTGTTTATGTGGTGTGCATAGAAAATTTAACCCGGTTTAATTGACTTACGGGAATCATAGACATACTATACAATTATAATAACATTGTTAAATATAATAACATAAATATAATATAATTAAACATAAATATAAACAATTACATAACCTCACAAATCATATATCTGTGTTGTGTTTCCTTCTAAAACATGGCGCGCGTGCTGAAAAACTTCAAAGGCGGCATCTGAGAGTGGGCATTCTGATTGTCTATTATTCTGTGGTTTTGGATGCAAATATTGTGGATGTCAGTTCAAAAGATATTGCTATCAGCGGCAACTGTTTCAATACTAATTTATTTAATTAAAGTAAAACAAAAAATGAAATATAAATACAGAGTTGATAAAGTCGTAAAATTTTTATCTTATCGATACCGGTATAAACTAAAAACTTATCAAATTCCAATTATGCAATTATGTCAGCAGTTCTGGTATCAAATTCGTGTGGATTAAAAAAACAAAAAAACTTTTCTGAACTTTCTGACCTTATAACGTCAAACTTATTCCTAGTATAGTGACTAAAAATCTATTTGGAATTTCGCAATTGTTTTTTCTGTATCAAGAGACTTGCATGATTAAAAAGTAATTCTTAATACCTTAAATGTATTCGCTTAAAAGATATTTTTGCGAAATCAACACAATATTTTACGTGGCGCAAGAGGTTCACAAGATATACAATGTACTTCCACACGGATTTAACCACATTCCAACATTTTTCAATATATGTTTGCATAACGAAAACATCACAAATAAATAGAAAAATTAGCTTACCATCCTCTTTCATAAAAGCCAAGATAATTAGATCTTGAAAATTATAGTTCCTGGTAGAATTAAACGGACATTTGTTCAACAAATTAGGATGGCGATCTTCCTACCATTTAAAGCGTACTAAGTCTTATAATTACTTCCAATTCGAAGGACCACCCACTGGCGTGGAAAATAAGAACACAAACAGTTCAAACAAAAGGTAATTTAATAATTGAATGTTACTACAACTAAAATAATATCTAGCCAAAGTTTTAGCGCAAGTTCTTTTATTAAAACCTCCGATCACTTTCCATACACTGGTCCGCGACGCAGTACCTAGCACTATACAGGTTAAAATGTTACCACTTCAATTAAGGACGTTTTCTTCAATATGAATATACTTGATTAAGACTGAGAGTTCAGCTTTTAACTATAAGCTATGAAACATGTCTCTGTGTTAAAAAAATCCATTTGCAATTTTTATTTCATTGTAGTTATCGACATGGGATTACTTTCATTACGTTTATATTGGAGAAACTGTAAATAATACAATCAAGTCATTTTTAAATAAGTCTTTGATAGTCTTTGTTATTTATTTCTTCCAAAATTGGAATGCCTATCAAATGTGAGGTGGTAAAACAGTCTGAATAAGTGAAAGCCAATTTGAGAGATATAGCTTCAACAATATGACCACTACCAACTGTCTGAAGTTTCAAACAGTTGTTTCAGTGTAAGACTCATTACATTAGTCTTAAGCTAGTACATTAAGACATATCAAACATTGCTAGGTAGTCATAGTTTTTTTGGTAGTTTTCAAAAATGAAATAAAAACGTGTTAACATTAAAAAAATATATTTATCTTAACAAAAAACATTTCATTAAAGTATATAAATACGCGTCACAGTACGCGTCCCTAAATAGTTCTTCTTCAGTTTAAAACTTCAACAGCCAAAGCAATACCCATTCCACCTCCAATGCACAACGAAGCGACACCTTTCTTCATGTTCAATCTCTGCAGATTGTAGATGAGAGTGACGAGAACTCTGGTTCCGGAACAACCTAACGGATGACCCAAGGAGAGGGAGCCACCGGCTACGTTGACTTTTGAGGGGTCTACGCCTAGTTCGTTGTTAACCGCGATACTTACTCCAGCATATGCTTCATTCAGTTCGTATAGGTCGACTTCGTCTTTGGACCAACCGATCTTTTTCAGCTGCAATTAAAACACAAATCATTAGTTATTATTGACTTTAAGATCAGTTTTTACATCAGTTATATAAGATTTTAACAGTTTTGTATACATATAATTCTTGCATAATCTACTGCTGCTTTGCATTTTTGTTTGCTGAATGAGCTTTGAAGCAAATGGAAACTGATCATAATTTTTATCGAAAAATCATCTTCTGTAAAAAGACCGTAAATAGGAATTAGCAGTTATACAACAAAACGCCATGGTTTTCTAAAGAAGTAAAAGAAAAATACAGAGAAAAGAAAAAAATATGTGGAATATATAAAGGCACCATATTCCTATGAATTATGTAATAAGAGAATTTGTAATGGGACATATAATTTAGTTAGAATCAACAAAAACAACCACTGGAAATGCTTCACAAAAGATCTGGAACATGCTTTCTGTGGATTACAAAAGGAAATGTAAAGATTTGTAACAGGACAGAGACAATGAGAGAAATAGGAGAAATTAAAGGTATAGAAACAAACGCGTGGATATGTTACTTGAAAAGACTGTACTTAGAAGACCAATCATTACCAGTAGAACCAGAAACATCGGAAATTACCACTGTTCATTAATGAACAAACCAGAAGAAAGGTAAACATTATGAGATGGGAAATGAAGAAATTACGATTATCTGATATATAGACGATGCCATAGTAACCGCAATACATGAGAAAGACTTACAAAGATTGAGGCATCATACTATCCCAGTTTCACCTGATGTAAAGGCAGATGTATAAGACTAATAATGACATAAACGGCAGAAACGAGATTTGATACATCCAAAACTCAAGGATGCTAGAGACAACCAAAATGCGAATACTAAGAAGAATCGTCTACAAATTTGAGCTCGCTTTGACTCAAACCAAATTGAACTGGTGCCGCCGTCGAATCATTTTTAAGTGAACACCGAATTCAACAAGAGCTAATCGCACTTAATAAATGAATCGATTAATTAATTTGAACGTTAGATGGACGGGCTGCTCCCATTTTTTGCAGGAGCTTTTGAGGAGGCCGAGCAACTTTAATTGAGAGTGAGTAGTTTTTTGGAGTGGTATACGACTATTGAGCGGATGCTTTGACAGTGATAGTGTAGAAAAAGAGCACTAGGTACCTTTGGTGTTACTAGCCACTCTAAGAAGGGCTCTGAACTAGCGTTTTGGCATGTAGTGATTTTATCTACGATATTTAAGGGGAATTGTTTCGAGAATGTCATAATACACAGGAAGAATAGACTTATAAGAATAATTAGGAAGCTCGTTACCACCAAAGCGTAGAAGTTTGGCTGGAGGGATAGGAACTTTTGCTTGGAGGAGCCTGGTGAGTATACGCCCTCGGCCGTGGCAAGGAGTCTTAAGAGTTTGTTTAGCCCTATTGTTGGAGCTAGATATTGTATTTATTTATGTATTGTATTGTATTTATTGATAGTAGATTCGCAATTTCGCGGATAATTTGTATCATATCCTTATATACTTTTTGAGGATTTTTCTTTCTGTTACAATAGCGTTGGTTTGGTAATTGTTTAGTGATGCGTAGACATACGCCTTGTATTCGATGATAGGCCTGATGAAAGTCTTGTAGGTGCACAAGGGAGTTTTATTTGAGGTATTTCCGAGTTTTCCAGATAGCGCTCGGACGAGTTTAGCTCTATATCTTGCTCTGTCTAGAGTATTTCTGATGTCAATGTCCCAGTTGAGAATTTTGCAAAAAAAAAAACTCCCAAGTAAGACACAAAATTTCCAAAATCGAGATTTTCTCCTAGAAAGGTTATCTGGTTTCTCCCAGCATCGCAGGGGTGAGGGGATTTTAATAAAATTAGTTGCGTTTTAAAAGGATTGAGTGTGACTCTCTATTTTTTGCACTATTTGACAATTCTGTTCAACTGGTTTTATGCTCTTTCGAATACAGACGCATGTCTCAGCGTCCCATTGTATGTTACTGCAGAGAGGAGTGCAGTATCGTCAGCAAATAATAGTATTGACTTTGACCTAATTAAGGGGTGTGGAATGTCACTGTTGTAGACAACGTATTATATTGGTGCTAGAATTTAAGCCCTGTGGGACTCTAGGGGTATGGCAAAAATGCAATAAGTCGCCAACTAAAGTTTGGAAAGATAGATCTATCTCTCAAAATATCAAGATGAGTCTAATGAATGCCCTTGTATTCCCAATATTTCTATACGGGGCAGAGATTTGGACTCTTGCGGATGCCGTCGCCAAAAAATTGATGCTTTAAGGATGTGGTGTTGCAGAATAATGCTGCGCATCCCTTAGACAGCTCATAGGACAAACGTATCCATTCTAAAGCAACTCGAGATTAAAAAAAGTTGTGTTTCGGTCACGTGGTTCGCAGAGATAACGATAGTTTGGAGAGATGAATTGTTTCTGGAAACGTTCTGGGGAGAAGATCAAGAGAACGATCATCAACTAGATGGTCAAATTAAGAATTAAGAACAAATTAAGAATTTAGCTGGAAACTCATTTTGCGAAGCTTTCAGAGCAGTAAAAGATAGAGACCAATGGGGAAAAATTGTTAGGAATATTGTAAGATATCACGAGAAACAACAAGAGAAAAGGGACTCCAGATTGTGAAGCAAATGGTGTTGATAGCGTGTTTGTGACCTTGACATAGATTGTCTAATTGGAGAGATAGGAATATATTATTTTTATAAAGGGAGTAGGCAGCAAGTTCTTAAATAAAAAGAGCCATTATGATTGCCAATCTCTGTAGCGAGACTGCACTCTAAGAAGAAGGCAGCCCGGCAGGATGGAGCTTTTCGGTCAGGCGTGTGTACCAAACCTGATCAAAGGCCTTCTGGATATCTAAGAAAATACCTATGCCGTACCTATCTGTTTCATTGAAGGCTTGTGATATGAAGGTTGCTGGTTCAATCAATGCATTTAGTGAGGTGTGTTCAGCTCTAAATCTAAATTGCACTGAATAAATCAAATTTCTTCTAATTTATCGAACACACTGCGTGGACAGTGCATAATATGGCATACTTAATAAAAAAAACTATTAGTAAACTATGAGAAGCGAAAGTGTAAAGGTCCACTTCTTGAATTAAGCTAACTAAGTGTCAAACGGTTAAGAGTTATACTGCTTTTCTGACTATTTACTATTTTATACTTTAAATACTTACAAGATTGTTAACAGCTCCTACTGGACCCATACCCATGATCATAGGCTCACATCCTGCCTCTGCGTATCCCACAATTCGCGCTAAAGGTTTTAATTGTCTTTGTTTCAACTGTTTTTCGCTGACTAATACCACTGCAGCAGCTCCGTCGCTGATTCCTGCAAACATGTACTCTATTCATTGAACTCATTGCCTTTTACAGACTTGTATGTACAAATGGAAAGTTTTTAAATAATATTAATGGATATACACTTCCATTATTCGTGATTACTCTAGTTTTTTTTGTGTATAAAAAAAAAACAAAAGAAGATCAAAATATTTGATGTTCAAATACGTAAGTGTATGCAAAATAATTTAAATAGGGGACATTTAAGGAAGAGGCACAAAATTGTATAACAAATTTGATAATCAATCAAGAAAAATTATATTGCGTAGTAAAAATCGGATCGGAACAAAGCAAGAAGCAAAATGACTACTGATATAAAAATAGAAAAACACTATTCTCTTACCTGACGCATTTCCAGCTGTAACAGATCCATTAGGTACAAAACGAGCCTTATATTCCGCCAACTTTTCTACCGTCGTACCGAATTTAGGAAATTCATCTTTCGTGATCAGGTTACCAGTTTTTTTATCGGGTACTCCAACTATTTCCTTTTCGAAAGCACCTTGATTTACGGCCTTTTCGGTTCTATTCTGAGATTCGCATGCAAAGGCGTCTTGAGCTTCCCGGGAAATATTATATTTTTGGACTACGTTTTCAGCTATAAAAAGAAGAACACCAAATAATCTTTAATATGTAGAGAGAGTATGAAAGATGTTGAAACTGTTCAATAATTTATATTGGCCAAACGAGCAAACTTTTCTAAAAACGCTTAATGAAACATAATAAGTTATTTCAGAACATAGGAATATTGCTACTATTATTGCATTCATTATAAAGCTAATTTAGAAATTTAACATACACGCACACATTGTATGATACTCACCAGTGACTCCCATATGAGCATCTTTAGTAAAAGCATCATGTAGTCCATCCCTAAATAACGTATCAGCCAAATTGAAATTTCCCAACTTGGCATTTCGAAGATAAGCTGAGTGTTCAGCTCTGGTCATATTTTCTTGTCCTCCTGCTACAATTATTTCGTAGTCTCCATTTTTAATTCCTTGATATCCAATTGCGACGGTCCTAAAAGTTTTTAGGTTATTTTAAAGATTGAATTAATCAAAGAATAAACAAACAGTATCGTCTAAAGCGGTTCTATTTGCTATACGAGGTCTGGTTCAAATGTTCTTTGCGCCAAAAACGCTACGATTGAAGCACGATACACAGACTAAGATACAGTGTAGTTTGTGTATCGTGAGATTGAAGAAGTTTCTCGTTTGACTGTGCCAAACTCGATTTTGGGATTAAAAAAAAATTGTGTTTTGAGAAGTCTAACGTAGAATTTGTAAATAATTTGCGTGTGCCATGCGACTTTTTTTCCAAAACCAAGAACACCAAATAATCTATAATATGTAGAGAGAATATGAAAGATATTGAAACTGTTCAAAAATTTATATTGGCCAAACGAGCCAAATAATTTGCGTGTGCCATGCGACTTTTTTTCCGCTAATACATTCGTCGAACTTTGTGTAACAATTTGTGGCAAAATCCAAGTTTACACAACTTTGTGCTCCGTACATTCACGACATGACGTCCTGCTAGTTTTTTGGTCGCCAAAACTAAAAATGGCTGTTAAAGGACAACTTTTCTAAAAATGGCTGTTAAACGCGATGACAAAAACTGAATTTCACAACTGCTTCAGTGACTTAAAATACTTGTTGGGAAAAGTTCCCAACACCTTGAATTTAAATTATACAAGAAATTAAAATTTTGAACCTCTAGCGCCATCTTCGTGCGTTCCCAATGTCACATTTTTTATGACATAAGTTCCAATCTGTTACACTTAGAAAGCCTTCTCGTCATGAGAGGGCGTTGAATGCCTTTAGGTCGCACATGTTAATAAATAAAATAATATAATATGTAATATCAAATAAAAAACACATAAATGCAGGAAATCACTCTCAGATAATTGTAAACTTATATATTCACTTTAAAATAAATTTATTGTGAAAGGGGACTTATCCACCTAGTGGCAGTGTTCAAAAACTGCAAGATGACAACCAGCAAGAAGAGAGAAGTTGGCGACGGCGGTGTGTCTTCGCCATTAGCCATTTTTGGTGTTTTGTGTCTTCGCCATTAGCCAAGTTTTTAACAATTATATTATAAAACGATCTTAAGAGCGTGAACTTGATGAAGCCATAGGTGTAACGAAAGGAAAGTGTAGTGATAAAAGTGTTCCTGTTACCAGTTACCGTCAGAAGCATCTTCTGAGGGGTCTCAAGTACTGTGCAAATTTATTGTAAGGTAATGTTCTCTATTATTGAAGTCCTCCATGGCCAGAGACACAATTTAAAACGGAATTTGTGTACACACACTTTATTCGCGAATGAAACCATATCTCGTGTGCTTAATATAAGTTAATGTTAAAATTTAGAAGGCCGAATAAGTATGTGCACATTTCTCTGATAAATATGAATTCATATCAATTTGTATTGTAACCCTTTTTTTGTTTGTAAGATGTTTAATGATTTAAAGATAAAAGGAAGGTAGTATATAAAAATTACGAGAGAGTAAAACTTTAACATACATTCTTGTTATTTGTTAGTTTTCAATACACTTATAGTACTGTTTATTTATTTTATTTCACTTATACCTAATAAAGTCAATTTTGGATATTCTGAACCAGCCCCTAACTGGAAATACAATATTAACTCTAGGAGTTTTTATATAGCCGGAGACACGTTTGTCGGTCCTCTACACTCGAGTGGTTGCAAGGCAGACCAAAGTAGTTTGCTGAGCGACCAATACTACTGACTGGAGATTATTTTCAAATGCCAATAATAAGAATGGCACTAGCTTTATGACGACAAAGATACTATATAGAAGGTTGGGAACTTTTGGAATAGACCTCGTATACGTATTTATTTAGTTAATTGTGTCCCGTGCATTTAGCGGATTAGTAGATAAAATAATTTGCAAGTCGATTTGTAACATTTCGTTTAACCTTGTAATTTAGGACTATTAACTGGTAAAAATTTTTTCTGACTTCCGTATAAACTGTCTAAAGTCAACACTTACTTAAGTCCTGATCCACAAAGCAAATTCAACGTATATGCGGAGCTGCAGATAGGAATTTTAGCGCCCAATGCAGCTTGTCTTGCAGGATTCTGACCTTGACCGGCAGTTAAAACCTAACAATAGAAAGAAGAGAATTATGCAATCTTATCTAATATATTTCAATTTAAATGCATATTGTATAATAGCGATAACATCCTTATTGCATATAAATGAACTACAAATATTTTGTCACACACAGAACGAACTTTAGTCTTTATTATTATAATCTTCAAACAAATCAAAGTATTTATAAAATTATTTACCAGAAATAAGAAATTCTCGGACTCAATATTATGCAAAATTATAAACTCAAAGTATTGTGTTATTTAATATATTCTGCTCTAATTGGATACATCTGTTACAACGAACTTACAACTACTATAGATTCTTTAAAAATAAGTTTTTTTTATCTTGCTGTGCAAACCAAGGCTTTATAGCTACAATTATCTCTTGAAAAAATAAATAGAATTTTAGACTTTTTTAGACTGTTTAAAGTTTACTGTTCCTAAAATATTGTTATGTTTCTTACTCATTTAGATTTATATTGAGTTGTTTTCAATATCTGAATAAAATTCTGTTCAATATTTTGAGATTTGCTGTTTACCAGTCCAAATAAATAAAAATTTGGTCCCAATAAGCCTACAGTGAGTTTCCAAAACCTTTTTGGTCAACAATTAGAATCGTTCTATTAACACAGCGAAATTTTACTTTGAATCATTATTAAATAAGGCTATATACAGATACTCGTATCTAAAAAAACAAAACTAATTTTTTGTACAAGACATTGTATGAAACGGTCTCATAACATGGACTAAACGGAGTATAGACAATTCTCATTTCTTATTTATCATAAATAAATCGAAGAGCACAATATTATCAATAAGAGTAGTAATTTATTACCAACTTTAGTTTTATTATATTAACGATAACAAAGTAAAAACTAAATCAAGGTCGTTTGTAATTTTATCTACTTAATTTTTATACACTTTTTTATCTCCGTATGTTTATAAATATAGACATATTTGTGTTAATATTCAGATTACAAATACATAAAATAAAATCTATCTACACTCAAATTAGGATCTTATCTGAACCATTATAAACCGGACCTTATCAGATTCCGGTTGCAATAGCTGTGTTAACAAATTTATCTATAGAAATCATACGATTTTTATCAAATTACGATAAAGGTATCAAATTAAATCAACCTGTATTAAAGTCAGTACAGGTGTATCAACAGTATAATCTGCCGAAAGCGTTAATATTAAAGAAACAATTTTTTTTCAAACGTTTCTTTACGCGATTTTGAACTTCCTTCCGAACTAAGTTAATGAAAAAGCATGTACACCGAAAAATTGCATAAACTTGTCATAGATTTAAGAAAATATAATTATCAAAACTTCATAAAAACTCTATATTGTACGCAAACATTAAAAAAATCATAATTGAAGATGAGTACAAACAATAAGAAGCAGAAGAATAAAGCAAATCCACTTTAAAATCAATAATTGAAAAGATAGTAATTAAATGAACAAAAAAGTGGATGGACAAATATGCTGATGAGTATTTGTAAAAACTTACAAAATTTATATATAAAAAGATTGAAGCATTAAACGAAATGTCTTACCTGTCCCATAATAACTTGGTCTACATCTTGTGGCTGTAGATTTGCTCGTTTCACAGCTTCTGCAATCGCAACGGTTCCTAATTCAACTGCAGAATGCTTCTCAAACTGGCCATTGAAGCTTCCTAGAAAGGAACAACTTTTTAAAACTATTATTAAAAGGAAATTATAAATATTTTAAAAATATTCAACGATTATTTATTGTTTTTGGCCGAATACAAGAATAAAAGCTTGCAAATTAAGTTAAATTTGTTTATTAATCATTAAGAAAAGTCCTAAAAGTATACTGACCTGCGAAAATATCGAATTTAGGACTGTGGAGAAGGCCAAAGGAACTAAAGATAAAAATTACAATTTAAAGAAAAAAAACATGGAAATGTATTAAGCATACCTTAAGTCTCATGGAAGAGCGAAGACAGTTAAAGGGAAAATGCAGCCAAAAATATAATGAAGTAAACAAACAAATCAGAAAAGAAATAAGAACTGCAAAGGAAAATTTTTATACAAGAAAATGCGAGGAAATCGAAGAACTACATCTCAAACATGACACTTTTAACTTACATAAAAAGATAAAGGAACTGACAGGTACACAAAAACGAAAACATGCCAATCTCCTATGCAACGCAAATGGTGAAATAATAGCCGATCTACAAGAAAAGCTTAGGACCTGGAAGAACTATGTAGAAGAATTGTTCGACGATGAAAGACAAGAACCTAATATAGATAACTTGCAAGGCGACGAAGGACCAGAAATAACTAAAGAAGAACTATTATACGCTATAAAAATAATGAAAAATGGTAAATCACCGGGCCCAGACGGGCTCACATCAGAACTTCTTAAGGTTGTGGAAGGCGAATCAGTGAATATTCTACTCGACCTTTTTAGCTGCATCTAAAAAAGAGGAGAAATACCAAAGGAATGGCTACTTTCAACTTTTGTAACCTTACCAAAAAAGGCAAATGCAAAACAGTGCACTGACTACCGCACTATAATGGGGCATACATTAAAAGTATTCATCAAAGTAATCCACTCAAGAATTAACAGAAAACTAGATGCAGATATTAGTAATATTCAATTCGGATTTCGGAACGGGCTTGGAACAAGAGAAGCACTATTTGCACTTAACGTCATATGCCAAAGATGTCTAGATATAAACCAAGATATATATATATATATATATATATATATATATATATATATATATATATATATATATACATATATATGTGCTTTATTGATTACAACAAAGCGTTTGATAAAGTTCGTCACGATCACTTAATGAAACGGCTAGTAGAAAAAAACTTGGATAAAAGGGACATTAGAATCTCTAAGATTTACTATAACCAGAAAGCAAATATCCGAATAGAGCAAGAGACAACGGAGGAAATCGAGATCAAGAAAGGCAGGGAAAGAAGACAGGGTTGTATACTCTCACCGACCTTATTCAATCTATACTCCGAAGACATTATAAACACAGCACTTTCGGATCAAAATATAGGTATTAAGATAAATGGCATCCGAATAAACAACTTGAGATATGCCGATGACACGGTACTAATCGCAGAAACTTGGGAAGATCTTCAAATACTAATTAACAAAATAGTAGAATGCAGAGAAGAACACGGATTATCACTTAACATAAGCAAAACAAAAATAATGCTAATATCTAAATCACCACAAAACTTCCCTGACATAACCGTGCATGATCAAAGAATCGAACGTGTAAGAAGATATAATTACCTGGGAACTGTTATCAACGAAAATAATGATTGCTCTGAAGAAATCAGAACCAGAATAGAGAAAGCTAAAGCCACATTTACTAAATTGAAAAAGGTGTTCTGCGGAAGAGATCTAAGTCTAAAACTTAAAATTCGCCTTTTGAGATGTTACGTTATGTCAGTTCTCCTCTACGGGATGGAAACATGGACATTGAAAAAGATCGATACCAAAAAGATAGAAGCATTTGAGTTGTGGATGTATCGTAGAATATTAAGAATACCCTGGACAGAGAAAGTAACAAATGTGGAGAGTGCGGAAAGAGAAAGAGCTGATACTTACTATTAAAAAGCGCAAACTACAATATTTGGGACATGTTATGAGGGGAGATAAATACCAGTTGCTGCAATTGATTATACAGGGAAAGATAATGGGAAAGAGATCTATAGGAAGAAGAAGGCATTCATGGTTGAAAAACTTGAGAGAATGGTACAATTGCACCAATTACCAACTGTTTAGATCTGCAGCATCAAAAATACGCATAGCTTTGATGATAGCCAAACTTCGGAACGAAGACGGCACTTGAAGAAGATACATTAAGGAGCTATCAAACTGATATAGAAAAAGAAGGTGAATAACAGTTGGTGGAGTACCACAACAAGAGAACATGAGATAATTGGGAGAAGTCAAGCGAAGGGTGGAAAATAGAGAGAAATGTAGAGGACTTGTCCAAGAAATTTGAATGAAACGATACAAAGGAGATGTGCTGATTTAGTTGTCTATCATTGTTGGCGAAAAAAGCAAAAAATTCAATATGTTCAATATTTCTTATAAGGGCATTAGAGAGTGTTAGATAGAGAGAGGCAGGAAAGACATTTTTAATTATAAGTAATGAGCTTGTAACACTTTTTATATATATTTTTATACTTTTTATTTTATTCATCAACATACGGCCCTACTGGGTGTTCATGTCATTTTGAAATTGGTTAACTGCTTTGGCAGATTTTGAAAAGCCCAATATGATCTCTCCAAATTGCATCCTGTTATTCTGTACGCCACGAGAGTTAGCTTTAAGATGCCAGAATGGACATACATACTTTCTTGCATAAATTTTAGTGCTCTTTTTAAAATAATAAATTTCAATTGGCTAGAAAGTTTAACATAAAAGTTCAAATTGGTAATATTCGGAAGAGAAAAGCTTTACCTACTTCTTGGTGGGTTGTATGGGGAGTAAGACGTGTAGATGTTGGCGATGGCGACTTGTATTTTGTTTAACTGCCGAAATCTCACTTAAATAAGTAGCTATTTCTATGAAAAAATATATAGTATAGTAGTAGATGATAACAACCAAATAGTATCTAGCCCAGAAAATGTAAGAAATTATGAAAAAAAAAAACACATCAAAGATATGTTTGATGGCGAGATAACAGAAGCGCAAATGAATATAGTACAAGACACAACACTTGATTTAATAACATCGGAAGTTACAAAAACAATCAATACGGCAAAGCCACGAAAGGCCTCAGGTCCAGAGAAGATATATGTAAAGATGATAAACCTTATCAATGGAGAAAATCTTCAGTCCTTAACACTACTATTTAACAAAATATATAAATATTACTACAAAAATGCCGAGATCAACGAAAATACGTGTTTCTATGTTTTATCGACTACGAAAAAGCGTTTGAACAAGTTAAACATAGAGAACTCATAAAAACCCTAACACAACATGGTATAGATAGACCATAACACGGCGGTCCTTATTAAAAACCTCATTGGGATCAAATGGCGTCGATGTAAATAGACAATCGTCTGACAAAAGAAATGTCAATAAAAAGAGGAGTTCACCAGAGCTGTGTACTTCCTCCACTATTGTTTAATATATATTCCGAAGTATTTTTATCGAAGTTAACTAATTTCCTTCATCTAAAAAATGTTTTCTTGGCTTATTTCAGATGCCCCTGAAGATGCTATTTTAAGCGAAAGTACTTGGGCTAGATTTAATTAACTTGTGCTCGATAATAGCCTTATTTTTCAAAGTTCATTTATTCGAGCATTCAACCTCATTTCAATCACCTTAAAATACGCAGACGAAACCGTCATTATTGCGGGTAGTGCTGAGGGTTTGCAACAACTTTTGAATGCCATAACCAGAGAGAGAGATAGCTTGGGGCTGAATATACACCCAAATAGAACAAAAGTAATGGCCGTTACAAATGCACCAAATGCCAACATTAATATTCGTATATACAACAAAGAGATAGAACCAGTACTAAGATTCCAGTATCTTGGTTGCTGGATAACAAACGATCTTGACTACGAAGTTGAAATACGTGCTCGTATATAGTATGTTAGGTCCGCTTTTCAAAGAATGAAATAATTTCTAAAAAACTCTACGTTATCGTGGGATATCCGATACCAATTTGTAAAAACATTCATTTATTTCATATTGCTAAAAGGAATGAAAATATGGACTCTTGGAATCACTTATATAAGACGTGTAGAAGCTTTTGAGATGTGAGTTTTTCGAAGGATGATGAAGATCTCTTGGACAGAGCACGTGACCAACAACGAGGTGATGAGAAGAATGGGGACTGAGAGAGAACTCCCAAATATTGTAAAAACCAGAAAAATAAGTTATTGAGGACATATTTACAGAGGAGAATTATATAACTTCCTACGAGTGATAATGGAAGGGAAAGCGGAAGGAAGAAGAGGTCCAGGAAGAAGAAAATGCTTCTGACTGAAAAATGTAAGAGACTGGACAGGCATGAACATACATTCGATATTAAGAACAGCTCAAGATAGAAAGCAATTAGCTGCAGTTATAGCCAACCTTCAGTAATGGAGAGTGCATCTTAAGGAGAAGAAGATAGTAATAACAACGACATTAACCCTAGATCTCGTACGGTGAATCGAAAGCCATTTAATTGCCGATCTCGCTTGGTTATTAGACCGACCGATGGATATAAGCAAACCTGAGCAAGTTGATAAGATCGTTTACCTTGGACAGCAATTAAATTGTAACGCAGAAAGTCACGGCGAAATTAGATCTAAGATATAGCAAGCTAGAGCTGCTTTTAGAAGGATGTCCAAGGTGTTATGTAACAGAGACTTAAAATTGGCATTGAGGATCCGCCTACTTCGCTGCTACGTGTTGTTGGTCTTACTTTATGGTGTCAAGTCCTGGACTGTGAATAAAATCGATCTAAATTGCCTTAAGGCTTTCGAAATGTGGTGCTATAAAAGAATTTTAAAAGTTTCCTGGGTGGAGAAAATTCGAAACTCTACAACACTAGAACGTCTCAGCATGATTACTGAGATCATAAAAAGCATCAAGCAGAGAAAGCTGTAGTATTTCGAACATGTAATAAGAGGTCCCAAATATAAATAGATATAACATGTCATGCAAGGAAAAATAGTAGTCCAGGCGAAGGAATCTCATGGTTGAAGAAATTGCGAGATTGATATGGTGTTGATACAAGCGTGCTATTTAGGGTGGCAGTGCATACAATTAAGAGAGCAATGATGGTAACCAACATTCTAAAAGAACATGGTACACGAAGAAGAAAAGATAGATATACTTTTAAAAATTAAAAAAAAACTGTTTGAAGTTGGTCAATATTTTTCTATCTTCAGTGCGGAGGCTGCAGCAGTTTATGGACCACTAAAATGTTTTAAAGAATCTGAAGATGTATCTGCAAGAATTACTGTCGATACGCTTTCTGTTCTTTTTGTTACCCACTTGAATTTCCCTAAACTTCTCCAATAATAGTTCACATAATGATATCTTTCTAATTACAATTTTTTTTTAAACTCATGAGAATAGTTTCTTAAAAATTAGTACTTTTTATGAGTTAGCTGTTCTTGAGATTGGTGTCACGGTTTCAAACGGCTAAGCCAGGTCGGAAACGTAGGAACATATAGAAATATCTGACAAGAAAACAAAGTACATGGTAGTCAGTAAGCGCGAAATATTAAATACACAGCTTTTGGTTAACCAACATCCAATTGACAGAGTGGACAGCTACACATACCTTGGTACTAACATTAACAGCCAATGGGATCACTACAGTGAAATAAAACAACGCATAGGAAAAGCAAGAAAGAGACAAGCGAAAAGCAAGATTATAATACGGAGTAGAGGCCTGGACACTTTCCGAAGCTTCTTTAAGAAAACTCGAGGCATTCGAGATGTGGTATTACAGATGTATTTTAAGAATTTTATGGGTGGATCGTGTGACTAACGTTGAGGTCCTACGTAGAATAGGTAAGGAATGCGAGATTATTAACACCATCAAAGAGCGCAAACTAGAATATCTTGGCCATGTCATGAGGAATGAACAGAGATACGGCTTGTTGCAACTCATTCTTCAGCGCAAGGTATTTGGAAAGAGAGGACCAGGGAAAAGAAGAATATCTTGGCTTCAAAACCTAAGAAAGTGGTTTAATACATCGACAACCGGACTATTCAGAATAGCAGCAAGCAAAGTTATGATAGCCATGTTGATCGCCAACATCCGGAACGGATAGGTACCGTAAGAAGAAGAAGAAATATCGTTCACATCAATTTAAAAAAATTAAAAAAAAATTATTGCGCAAAAATTTTGATCGATAGTCGAAAGAATATTTTAGTACATACCTATGGGAGTTCGGCAGGCTGCAACTATATACACATCAGTCATTTTGTTCAACAGTATTATTTATCAAAAACAATTTTAATCTCTATGACTAGTTCTTTCAACCTTTGAACAGTGGGAATGTCGGTTCGCAAAACTTGCTCCACGATTTATAGTATAGTCGATATTATCGCGCAGGGCAATTTCATTGTGATAAGAATAATTTCAATATTTAGACAGCTGCATCATCGAAATGCTGGATCAATTACCGAAACTAAAAGTACACATAGAGACATCAAAGGTCAACATTCACGAAGATAATGAGATTGTTTTTTTTTCTGCATCAAAAATACACACTTTATCACATGATCTTATCTTTCACATTAAACTTAAGACAAACATCCGATATTACAAAAGTAAAGCAGGTAATTAAGTAGGTATTTAAAAAGTAAAATGTTTAGATAAGCTTAAACACCTGTTGAGAATTGATTGTTATCGAATGCGACTCGGAACTTTAAGTAATCTTTTATTATGTATTGTATACTAAGTACTTGTATAAGAAATTCCTTGTTATGAATACTTAATGTACAGCTGATTCCTAAAAAAACTTATTATTTTAAGCAGTGAGCAGTGTATTTGATTGGTCTCACATTATATTCTGCCAAGGAAATTACGGAGGAGCAGATCTGACCAAATAACTATTAAAACTAATTAAAAAAATAATAGAACAAAACAAAATTCCTCAAGAATGGAGATCAAGAATCCTAATACCTCTCTTCAAAAAGTGAGACAAATCGGACCCGGAAAAGTACAGAGGTATTAATTTATTAAACACAATACTAAAATTAACAACTAAAGTGAAAACAAATAAATTGAATGAAATTATAACATTAGCAGAAGAACAACAAGGTTTTAGGTCAATACAACGAACCGGCATATCTATGTTTCGTGGACCTTACAAAGGTATTTGACTGGGTCAAATTAAAAGATGTTATTCACTTACTGTAGGCAAAAAGAGAGATACCTCTAGGATTAATAAAAACGATTGAAAATATGTACCAAAACAACACAATAAAAGTAAAAGTAGAAGAGAAACTAACCGACCCTATTGCAGCTGGCAATGGGCAAGACAGGAAGATTCATTAAGTCCTTTATTGTTCAACCTGATTATGGACGAAATAATAAAAATAGTAAGAACTTAAAAAAAACAAAATGGGAGAAAAACAACTTAAAATAATCTGCTATGCAGACGATGTAATATTACTTTCTCAAAGTGAAGATTATTTACAACGTATGCTGCATCAATTGAATGTAACTGCCAGAAAATTTTACATGTTAATTTCCCCAAAAAAGACAAAATGCATCTAGGCATCACATTATCTAGCTATGGAAAGCTCGAAACCGAAGTGGAGGATCAAGTGAATAGAGCAAACAGAGCCGCAGGCTGCCCAAATGGAACAATATGGAGAAATAAAAATATCGGGAAAGAAACGGAAGGCAGAATTTACAAAACAGCCATCAGACCAATAATGACATACGCGGCAGAAACAGGACCTGATACAGAGAGAACAAAAAGGATGTTATAAAGAGCAGAGATGAAAACACTTAGAAACATTGATGGTAAGACACTATGGGACAGAGCTAGAAGTACAGATATCCGACGACGTAGATGCAAGGTGGAGAACATCAAGAACTGGGTAAGAAATAGAAGAATAGTAAGGAACGATCGGATAAGCCGAATGACAACAAATAGGGTACTAAAGATGGCAATAGACGTTTATCCAATAGAAAGAAGATCAGTAGGAAGACCACGAAAACGATGGAATGACAACTTACTGGAGGCACATTGAAAAACAGAGTCATGTCTATATAAAAAGAAGAAGAAAAAGTCATTATATTATATTTATTATGACAGGTGACAACATTTGAGAGGTGAAGGATATTAATCACTGCAAATCAGATTATAAGGTAAAGTGTAGGGCAAAATATCAGTTGGAAGATGCCAGAGCTCCACCAGTTGAACAGTTTTCAATTAACTAAAAGGCTAATTGCCATTTGGATCGTCAACCTTATAAAAAAAGAAATAAGGAAAACATTTATAGCTCAACTAATAGAAATGAGCAAAATATAAAATTGTGTGATATGATGAGTGCCTCTGAAGTAAACAGACGAAAAAATCCTTGCCTTCAAATTCTCGCAACTTAGCTATTAAAACAAAGAAATTCTCGACATCCATTAAAAGTTTGTCAACAATTTTTTACCTCAGCTATAGGTCTATCAGCAAGGCGCGTAACCAGAGTTGCAAATACCATTTATGCAGGGGAAGTAACAAAAGACAAAAGAGGAGAAGATTAAAAGTCCAAAAAACAATAGCTTATGAAAATTGCATTAGAGAGTTTATCGGCAATTTGAGAGGACAAAAAAGTCATTACAATGGATTAAAGTCTCAAACATTTTATGTATACAGAGATTTAAGTATTGCAAAATTTTATAAGGTATATAACACAAAGTTCGAGACAAAACAAATTTTACTGTCAATGTTTTTAAGAATATTCAGAAAGGATTTTAATTTAGGCATTTTTTCACCTGCTTCAGATGTATGTGCTACATGCAAGAGAATAACGAATCAAATTAAAATAGAAAAAAATACAGAAAAAAAAAGAAAATAAATAATTATACAAAACCGCATTCACAGCCACCTTTATGCATTCTTTAAGCCATCCTGCAAGGAAAAATATTTAAAAAACAAGGTCTAGGAAGAAGAAGAACATCTTGGTTAAAGAATCTCAAAATCTGGTTCAATACAACATCTCTGCAGCTTTTTCGCGCTGCTGCAGATAAGATAAAGATTGTAATGATGATCGCCAACTTTCGTAACGGATAGGCACATCAAGAAAAAGAAGCATTCACAACAAAAGATCTAAAATGTTCTAGGAATTATGTTAGATCGCCCAGAATTTTTTATAAGTTTTTGTTTTGGCTTGCAGCAATTCCAGCCATTGCCTAAGACACCCATATCTGACGCATTTTATGCACACTAAGTTTTCTTGTTTTCTGATGTGTTGATATGGGATCAAACGTCCCTATTTTTACATGTAGAATAAGGATCAAGCTAGACGGGGTTCTGTGCAAGTAGAATCTGCTCTTCTGCATCATTTGGACTCACTAAATTGGACTGATTCGGAGGACAAAGTTAGAACTCACATAATCCATGCATTATATTATTGTTTTAAAGTCAAGGGACATCCAGAATTAGAAGAAATTAGAATAAGAATGCAGGCAACCACACTCTAAGATAAAAGAATAAAACTGTTTCGAATGTAATCAGGAGAGATTTAAGGAAATTTAAAACCGATAATACTAAACGTACTGTACAGAAAAATAACAGCTTAAAAGTTCTACGTAGAAAGCTAACGAATGGGAAACGCTTATTGAAAAATCTATAAAATACAACAAACCTCGTGTCCTCACTTTCATAGATTTTTATAAAGTGTTCGACAAATTTTTATGAACGACAAATAAATATTAAAGAACGAAGGAGTTTAAGGGAGGTTATATCCAGCAGTGAACGTAATAAATGAAGGCTGGCTGATGATGTTGATAATAAGTTTTCCGGTACGTGGCCACAGTTTTTTGTCAGCAAATAGGGTGTTTGGCAGGGTTGTGAACTGCCTTAGAAAACAATCTGTTGTAAAACTAAAAGTAGAATACATAAGCATTTAACAACAGTTCGGTTTAGTGAAGAATCTTGGAATAGGCTGGTTCCTTTATGATATTAAGTCTCTTCAAAACAACTTACAAAAAATTGATTTAAAAAGAACTCATTTAAAAAACTAGAAGATAATACAATAAAAGTTTGGTGTTCGATATAAAAGTTTTCTAAAAAATAAAAAAAAACATTGATAACGGCGTGAAAAAATGATCAGGGTATGAAACTGGACAGCATTTCGCTGAATAATGCCCTTAGTGAAAAGAAAAAAATCTCTTAGAACAACACTTTGGCGATGACTGGATAAACGAGTCTTTAGATTGGTACAAAAAAACTCTTAGCAACACAAAGCTGCAATAACGAAGAACAGCATCAAAACCCATGTGACTGCCTGGAAGACGACATAGTGTACATATCTAATGTGAAATTATTATACATATAATAATATACTACTCTTGTTCTTTAAAATATCATCTGCTTTATATTTTTCAACTCAACGGCGAATAAGAGGTAACATTTGTGCATTTAACTCCGTATTAATTTTAGTGGGTTTATTGCGTTTTTATTGAACGTCCTTGAAATACTGTGCACATGCACATTGTAAATAAAAGATCGATTATCAAATAAAATTGCGTAATAGTTCTGGTATTTTTTATATAATAATGCAAAAACTATCTGTTGAAAATAATTGTATCACGTAGAAATTCTTTTTGTCATCTTACTTTTATGATTTAAATGGTAGGTACTACATACCTATGGGAGTTCTACAGGCTGAAACTATATACACATCGGACATTTTGTTCGGCTACGACACTTTACAACTAAAAAAACTTTTATTTATTAAACTATACGACCACTGCTAGTCAACATAAACATTGGCAATGCCTATTCAGTCAGGGACAAATTCTTTGCTTAACAACTATATTGTCAGTAGCGGCGCGCAAGACAAAAAATATAAGCATGATAAGATATAAATAATTTAAAAGTTTTTAAATTATTTATTTATTTATATACGGCATCCATTTACTTACAATTTTTACAAAGATACATCTTAAAAACAATAAATTATTAAAATAACATACACCTCAGAATAATACAAACATATAAGAATAATACAGATATTAAACCAACCAACTTATTGTAAGATACTTTTTAGTTGTTTTTTAAACAAACTAATTTTGGAGTCAAAAATATCTATTTGTCTTGGCAAGCTATTAGCACTCCGGACCAATCGTGTAGTTGGTTCACTGATACCATAATTGGTGTGGTGAAATGCACCAAAAAGATTTCTGATTGTCTGTTGCTTCTACTAGGAACTTTAAGACTAACAAGCGATAAGAGTTAAGGACAATCTATAAAAGCATTGATAACTTGTGATAACTTGTGATAACTTGTGATAACTTGATAGTTGTATTCCTCTCTCCTGTATCCA